AGAGAAAAAAGAGAAGAGAGAGAGAGAGAGAGAGAGAGAGAGAGAGAGAGAGAGAGAGTAATTAGAGATTAGATAAATGAACACTTTTTTTTTCATTTTTTTGTTATTATTGAATTTGATCATTTTGGAGTTTTTAAACAAGAGTGAATTGATGACTTAAGTGAATGATTTATTTTTTAATATTAGGATTAAATACATGCATAACACTCTAAATTTTATTACTTATAAAATTAGCACATATGCCATTTTTTCCAACTTGTTTAACTACGTAAATAAAAACTATTAATAAGTTGTTAGTACTTTTCATTTGTGATCCAATTTTATAACCCAAACACTTTATGCATATAATGGCCAAGATCTTAGAATTCGTGATTTTTACATATTCATTCATAAGAGAAAAACATACATGTATTCATGGTTGTAAAATTAGATCTGAGGAGATGACATTTCTCTTCTCTAATCTCTATCAACTTTTTATATTTTCTGATGTAGATAAATATATGGTGTCTGTTATGAAGAGAGATGACATTTATCTGAATTATGTGTTATTTAGCCACAATCTATCAAAGGGGTTACTGACCAATAATACTTAATATTGTTTATTTAATTAAATGACATACATTAGTAACCATCATCTATCAGGAGTTAATGATGGATGAGATTGAAGATCATTTAATTAATTAGGTGACATTCGTCAGTAACCACCATCATCAGGGGTTACTGATGGATGAGATTTAAGATCATTTAATTAATTAAATGACATACTTTAGTAATCACCATCCATCTGGGATACTGATCCATGAGATTTAAGATCATTTAATTAACTAAATGACATACGTTAGTAACCATCGTTCATAAGGGGTTACTTATCAAAAAGAATTTAAGATAGCTTAATTAATTAATTATCATTAATTATTAAAGCAAATGACCCATGTTTGTGGGTTTGTGGCAACGTGAGAAAAATAAAAACACTTTCCCGCTTTGCCCACGTAATTTTATTTATAACACATATCATACTGCACAAAATGTAAGTTAAAATTCTTCTTTATATTAGTTTAACCATAAATCATCAATAAGTATGAAATTAATATAGATCATAACGATTGTGTATTAATTTATAGACACAGTCCATTTCATATATGACAATATCAATTACATACTTAACATAATATGAAATAATATTATGGTCCCATAATGTTTATTAAAATAAAATTCTTGTTAAACATCATACAACGTAAAATATATATTAACGATAAAGAAACAAGATATATAAATATCAGAAACAACAATAAACCAAACTCAAAGTATCAAACATAAAGAATTTTAAACATAAACTAATAAATGGTTTCGGTAATGCCCGTTATCACGAGATGTTCGTTAAATGTCTTCGGTGACAACCCTTTTGTCAATAGATCCGCAATTATAAGACTGATGCTAATATGCTCAATTAAAACTCTATGTTTCTGAACTTCTTCCTTAACGACAAGTATTTTAATTTCATGTGTTTAGCACCTTTGGAATACAAGTCATTTTTAGAAAAGAAGAATGCTGCGAAGTTATCACAATAAATTTTCAGTGACTTGGCAATATTTTCGACAATTCCAAGTCTTGAAATAAAATTACGCAGCCATAAGCCCTGAACTATAGCTTCGAAGCATGCCAAAAATTCAGCTTCCATAGTGGAGTGTTGACACAATTTTAGGGGGGTCGTTTTGTGGAAGCTATCGGCCGTCGGAATCAGAATCCTGTCGCACGCTTCGGAGGGACATTTTAATATATATATATATATATATGAAATCAAACTAATCATATATTTTTCATAGTTTAAATGAAAGAGCACTACATTTCAAGTTATGTATCTATCCCGAAATATAAACATAAGGCTTGAGGGCGAGGTTCGATCAAATAAAATAAAAAATATATGACATTCGTTTGGTCTGCAAAGACCATTTTATTTTTAAGCTCACAAGTTCTCTTATTTAATATGAAAAATTAAATAGGGTTTATATTAATATGAGTTCGAAAAACCTTCCTATAAGGGCAAGCCCCTATAGTTAATTACATCTTGATAACCGAAGTCACCTAAGAAAACTCTCGATAAAAATCAGGGGATATTATCTTCAAGAAGTTCAAAGGAATAAGACTTTTCAACGAGATCGGACAGGAGGTGTGAAACTGGAATGACTCAAATTTGAAACACATATTTTTGGAATCCCAAGGAAGAAGAACTAGGGGATGTCACAGATCCTGAGGAGAACCTCAGTGACTTCCCAAGCTATCCTATGGTTTCGCTTCAATTTGGAGGAGCAAAATTTAAATTTTCCATCCTGTCAGTTTTATTAATTAGGGCTTACATTCGTGTGAAACGACACAAATAACTTGGAAGATGTGAGGATTTAGGTCGTAACGAACAACAACCTCAGAATCCTAAAGCGAGTTAGTGCCCATCCTCAATAGATTTCATATGACTTTGATATTGGTTAATGATACACCTAAAATATATAGTATTTTTATACACATTTTTTACCTATTTTTTAGATATTGTGCTTTAATGAAAGTTATTTGTGTGTTTTTCTCTCAGGTACAAGTAAAAAGGTGAAAAATGCTAGAATGAGTGAAAAAGGATCAAATTTTGAGCAAAAAGATGAATATTGTGCTAATTGTGCTAAAGTGTTTTGGCGCTTAAGCGTCAGATCCGGCGCTTAAGCGCCGGTGAAGCAGAGAAGGCCGCACCTAAGCGCTAGAGGCCCAGCGCTTAAGCGCCAGAGGCAGTTATGTGATGGTTAACTTCATTTTGCCGAATTTTGAAGGGATATTTGAGGCACCTATTGGCTAAAGAGGGTGGTTATTACCACTAGAAACAAAAATATTATTAAAAGACTTATAAAAGGAGGCATCCTTTAGAGAATACATCAAATTGGGACACATTTTGAAGAGTTATCAAGACACCTCTTGGAGATTTATAAAAGAAGGAAGTTGAGGCTTTTTAATGTGTGTTTGAAAGTTCTGAAAAGTGTTGGAAAGGAGAGAGTTTTGGAGAGATTTTCAGGCACCATAAATTTACTTTATCCTTTTGTTTATAATTTTATTGTGGAGTCAAGAGTGTTGTAAAAGAGAAGAGATTCAAAGTAATTTGAAGAGTTTGGTGGAGGATTTCAGATAAGTTTTTGTCTTTTGTTTTGAACTAGTTTTGGTTTTAATCAAGACATATTGTTGGTTTGATAATGATTTCTACTTTTAAACTAAAGTGTGATTTTATTTTCTCCATAGATTCTGAGTAGTTTTATTTATCTTTCTCCTTAAATGATAAGTAATTAAAGTTTGGATGGAAGTTGTGGAGAGTATTGTTCTTTAATGTTGGAAGAAGTTTGTTGACCTCAATTTTGGTTGAGGTTTAGTTTTTTTTCCTCTTTAGTAGCCTAGGGTCTAGCCATAACACTTTCCTGTTGACTATTCCTAGAAAAATAGAAAAGGAACCCTCATCATTAGAAATTTTACCCTCTTCTTTGCTCAACTTGAAATTCTACATATTGGTCATAGCCTCTAGCACTTAGTAAGTGGGGTCACTATGAAGGAGCTCAAGGAGAGTGGCCCTAGAACTGCCTGACCTTAAGATTGACCCTGGGTGTTGTTCTGGATCTAGTTCACTCACCTACACTCACTTTCACCCACAATCACTCACAACCCTAAACCTAAAATTTCTTGACTTTGATCCCTTGATCCTTTGGGAGACTCATGTAGATGATCCTCTAAACCCACTGGCCCAGCCTGGGGCTTAGCTAAGACCAGTACATAGAGGACCCAAATGTGGTTTCCATTGGTCCATAGCTCATATAGGGTGGTTGGTACCCAAATTCTATCAAAAATATCCAACTTGGCCTTTTGCCCCAAAATCCCTCAAATTACCTAGATACCCTTATAGCCCTAAATTTGGTAAAAATTCCCAAAATTCTTAAATCCACCCAAAATACCCAAATTTGTCCAAAAATCATTTCAAACCTTTTCAAAATACCCAAATTACCTAAAACCCCCAAAAAATTTCAAAATTACCAAAATAACCTCCAAAATTGCCAAAATTATAAAAATGCCCTTGTCACCCCAAACTTTCCCAAAACATCCAAAATTACTTTAAATGTTTCTAAAACCAATTTTAACCCTCTAATTGTACTCAATTTGACCAATTTGACCATTTTGACCA